GGGGTGGATCGGGGGAGGGATGGTGGGCCAGGCCCGTGTAGTGGAAGAGGGCCTGGAGATAGAGGTAAACCAGGGTGCCAGGGCGGGACCAGCAGGGCAGGAGGCCAGGGCGGGGCCGGCAGCTTGGCAGGCAGCAAGAGGGAAACCTGCCTCAAGGAGGGATCATCAGTGGGCTCCGCCGCTTCGGGAAGGCCGGAAGTGAGCCCCGCCGCCTCGGAGGGAACCTCAGCGGGCCCCGACGCCTCGGGAGCCTTGCGAGCGGACCATGCCGCTCACACCGACATCAGCGGGGATTCCTGCACGCTGCGTATCAGCCCGGGAGGCTCCTGGAACGGGCGTGAGGTACTGGGTGCGGCAGACGAGGCCTCTGACGCCCCGTGGATTGCCGCCTCGGGGGAATGTGCCAAGAACTCCACAAACCCCTCAAAGGACACATGAGCGGATCCTAACATGCTCCAGTGACTAATGGGCCTATCATCAAGGGCATAATTGAATAAGTCCTTTAGCGCGGGGTCATTGTAGCCCAGCCCCTCTGCAGCATTTCTAAATTCCCTGGCGAACTCCCTCAGACCAGTCCCCCGTTGACGGAGGGAGCTCAAGGTATCCAGCTGGAGCATGCGCTGGTAGAGGGGGCTGGAAAGAGTGGAGACCGGTAGGCAGAGTGAGCCATTTCTCCGCTGAGTCCTCATGTTGGCTGATCCGTTCTGTCACGGTGCGTGTGGAGAGATGAAGCGAGGACTCAAGTGCAGGATAAATGGTTCTTTCTTTAATAATAAAACGAAACTAAAACAAACTAAAACAACCCAGAGGGGGAAAAACAGACAGGCAGGCTAAGAAATGCACTACATGCAGACATAACACACAATGAAAAACAACGGATCAGCACAGGATTACAGACACCAGGAGAATAAATGGGAAACCAAACGAGGAGTAATAAAATGAAACAAAAACAAACTAAAACAACCCCAAGGGGGAAAAACAGACAGGCAGGCTAGGAACTGCACTACATGCAGACATAACACACACAATGAAAAAACGACGGATCAGCACAGGATTACAGACACCAGAAGAATAAATAGGAAACCAACTGAGGAGGCTAGCGAGGGAGACACAGGTGGAGCAACTTAAACAATAATGAGGTAACAAGATGGGCGGGGCACGACAGTAAACAGGAGAGAGCACATGGCAACAAACAAGCACAACACAAGCCATGTGCTCACAGAACACAGTGTCATCTGGTGGCCATCCTGGGCACACCCGCTGAAGACTGTGACACCGGTTGACTAGGTGAAATTGATGTGGAGCTGGATGGCGTGGAAATCAAAGTGAAACTAACTAAAAGAACAAAGAGAGCAAAACTCACTCCAGGCTACACTAATTAAAGTTTTTAAAACATTATTTAATAATTATAGATCTGTATTTTCAGAAATTATATAAAAATCTCTGTAATAGAGAAGAAATGTCTGTAGTAAATGAGCAAAGATCTGCACGGAGTGTGTTACAGATCATAACAGGTCAGCTGTAATGCCTTAATTCCATTAGTCATAACCAAAACCATACATGCAAAACTGTTTTTCTCAGAGGGACAAAAACAGGAACTGTAAGAGTCCCAGCCCTTTTATTTGCATGGAAACCATTTGCTGTTTGCAGAAATGACAGACAACAGGCTGAAAGAGTACTGGGAATATTTCAAGCAGCACTGTTTATTGTATGCCGGTTGGATATAAAGAGTTAAAGATTACAGCTGGCTGACAGAGTAAATATTTTTTCCTGTGTCAGAAAGGATGTATCATCATGTATTCCACATAACAGCAGGAACCGAGAAGACCAGCACAGAACAAACATCTATCCTGAATGGACATAATTTAAGCGAACTTTATAAAAGCGAGTGTGCTTTTTATAAGTTCACAAGAGAACAACAAATTCTGTTATGTACAGGTAAACTAAACTTTTAAACAGGAATGGAAGACTGTCCAAATCCAGCTACAATAGGAGAACTTCCAGATATACGGCGTGACACAGAAGGTAGGAGAAAACTCAACGGCAAATACTTATTTTTTTACTTTTGTTTCAATGAATTTTGTTTTATTGGAATATGAGATGACGACATGGATTTCCTTCGTGTTATAAAACAAAAAGTAAAATTTGGACGCCTCAATACGTATGACGTAATGTGCGTAAAGCATACTTCCGGATTGAGACAAGATGGCGGTTGCTAGTGGCGAAGACGTAAAGGTAACATTTGAATACAACCGTGAAGTCCTAAAAGTTTTTTTTTTCAAAATAGGAGGAGGAAGAGTAGGCCTGTTGCAAATCTTTTATCAAAGGCATGTAAGGAAATGCTGCTGCAGAAGTGATGACAATTGCGTTATCTGCTTGTCTTCTCTGCTGCTGCTTCTGGGGCCTGATTCATCGAGCCATTTAGTGTGTTGTATAGTCAAGATGAACGTCATATTGCATTAAATATCAAATAGCGGTTTGAGTCAGTCGTGAGAACTGTATCAGTCATCTCTTTGTCATTCTGGATTTACAAAACCACCGTTATGACTGGAGATCCACTCTACTGACCACCTGTACAAAATGCTAGTGCAAAATTAAAATTAATAATCGTCAAACCTTCAAAAAGACTTCCATTCGATTCATTTCTTTCTCTTTTTTTAATTCTGTAGTAAAGTATCCCAATGTACATATTTCAAAACATAGCATTAGCCTTGGATTGTGGAGCGGACCAAAAGAAAGGGGGGCCCAAGGCGCAGGTGACTGGTGATGGTTTGGGGTGTAGTTGGCATTATAATGCATTTTAATTGTACCAAATGTATTATATAGAGTCTGTAAGATTGTACATGTTACATCCTAGTCTGCATTTTATTATTAGAAACAGTACTGTTTGGAGATGAAACCTATGGCATGACCCCAGGATGTATCCCAGATATGACTGGCTACAATCAACACCTAACTAGGTAGGTCTATAAAATTAAATGAAAGATATTAATCTGATGCACTCTACTAACACCATAGTACCATCATGCATTGCAAACAGTTCTCATGTGTTGAAAGAAATATTTCACCTAAAAATGTAAATTTGCTGATAATTTACTCAGGTAATTCCTCAGGTCATTTAATTTGTAGAATAGTTTTTTTTCTTCATCAGAACAGATTTTAAGAAATTAACCATTACATCACTTGCTCACCAGTGGATCCTCTGCAGTGAATGGGTGCCGTCAGAATGAGCAATGTTATGAATAGAAGACATAGTTTAGCCGGAAGCAGTTTGAAGATAAAAATTTCTTGATGGATATGTTTCTTACAAACACACAGCTTTTCACTTCGTAAGACATTAACTGATGGCCTGGAGTCGTGTGGATTATTGTGATGTTTTTATCAGCTGTTGGTCTGACGGTACCCATTCACTCCAGAGGATCCATTGGTGAGTACATTATGTAATGCAAACAAACTCATCTACATCTTGGATCGCCTGAGAGTGAAAACATTTTCAGCAAATTTTCATTTTTGGATGAACTATTCCTTTACAGGCTAGAGAGTCTATGCTAAATGATAATCATTTGTTTTAAAAAAAATTTTTTTTTTTTTTGTGAACTTATTTTTTACTATTTGCAACAGATGTGGAGATGGCTTTATTGCTGGAGTCATTCATGCAGACCATCGGAATAATGGTACAATGTTCATTTATTTATTTGTTATTTTTCTAATGACTTGAGAAACACTATCTAATGAGCTCTTAGAAGTGTCATTTCAAGTGTATGTCTATTCACTATTTATCGTAATGAACACT